TAAGGCTATCGTGAGATGGCCCTCAGGACATCATGAAGTTGCAAGAGCCTGGAATAAGGCTTGATCTGAGGAGAAAAGTATAGAAGGAACAGCTAAGGATGCCACTAATGAACGTTCAGCTGTGTAGTAAATGTGCATTCAGTTCAGGGTGCATTAAGAATAACAGAATTGGAAGGTCTTCTAGTCCAACCCGCTGCTTAAGCAGGAGCCCCGACTCCATTCCAGACAAGTGGCTGTCCAGTCTCTTCTTCAAAGCCTCTAGTGATGGAGCACCCATAACCTCTGAAGGCAAGCCGTTCCACTGATTTATTATCCTCACTGTCAGGAAATTTCTCCTTAGTTCTAGGTTGATTCTCTCTTTGATCAGTTTCCATCCTTTGCTTCTTGTCCTGCCTTCAGGTGCTTTGGAGAATAGGTTGACCTTCTTAGAAAGGATCCTTTCTAAGAAGATTTCCTTTCAAAGAAGGATATAGAGAAAGGGAAGATATTTAGAGGGGTCCATAAAACAAGGTCTATTAGGAAAAGTTGAAGAAACTGAATATGTTTTCCCCAGAGAAGGAAGACTTGAGAGATTAAAAACAAGCTTTTCTAATCCCAGAAATATCATCATCTAGAAGAAGGAAGATGTAGCTTAAGATAGGAAGGAATTCAACAGTAGAAGAAACATAAGTTCTTGAAAGTAAGGGAAACGTGCCCAATTACTTTTTATTTTATTTTTTTTGCTTTAATTTATATGCCGCCCTTCTCCGGAGACTCAGGGCGGCTTACAATGCGTTAAGCAATAGCCTTCATACTTTTGTATATTTATACAAAGTCAGCTTATTGCCCCCACAATCTGGGTCCTCATTTCACCTACCTTTGAAAGGATGGAAGGCTGAGTCAATCTTGAGCCTGGTGAGATTTGAACTTGCAGTAATTGCAAGCAGCAGGTGTTAATAACAGTGCTTTAGTCCACTGTACTACAGGCTCTTAGATGGAGAGGTGAGTTCTTCCACCAGAAAGTAGACCAATATCATTTAGGGATGATTCTAATTTCCAGCACCGAAGAGATGATTGGGCCAGATGGAATACAGAAGCTGCTTATTGTCCACGTTCTATATATAGTGATGCAACTTTTCTAGGTTCCTAGCAAGAGAACTTTCGTAGGAGATGTTGAGGAAAGTAGAACCACGGACTTTCCCCCCACCCCAGTGACTAACATGAGTCACTGAAAAGATGATGATAAGGCAGCATGTCAATGTGATTCTGAGTCTTATCAGGATGTCATCTTCTGTTCTGACTTAGGGCTCCCTTAAAAAGCAGGAAGCAGGAATTGGTCTCCAGCAAAACCTCTTTTATTTACATGACTGTGAATTATTTCCATTCACAGTCAGCAAGGTTTGTCCAAACAGTTTTTCAAAGGAATATTTCTCAACACATCTTATCTTGCTTGGCAAGCTGCCATGTAACTTGTTTCCAAATGCAGTACAAGGCAAAACTTGGCACAGAGTCTCTTAGAGGCACAAACAGAACTTTTCACTCTTGAAACTAACTACCGATTGAATTGTTTCCTGCAAAAGCCCCCTCCCTGTTCACTCCTTTTTTGTTTCCTATGGGAGGGGCCAATCACCTCCAAGGTGTGGCTTTACTCCCAAGTCTTGGTAGTACAGTGGTCTAAAGCACCCTGTTATTAAGACCAGCTACCTGCAATTACTGCAGGTTCGAATCTTGCCAGGCTCAAGGTTGACTCAGCCTTCCATCCTTTCTAAGGTAGGTAAATTGAGGACCCAGTTGTGGGGGCAATAAGATGACTTTGTATAAATGTACAAAAGGATGAAGGCTATTGCTTAGCGCATTGTAAGCCGCCCTGAGTTTCCAGAGAAGAGCGGCATATAAATCAAATTAAAAAAAAAAAAAGTCGACCCTACTTTCTGAGTTGTTCTTGTCTTCTGGCAGCTCTGCGCATGTGCACACTGGGAATGGGCTCCAGCTGTTCCTCTGCCTCACTGCTGTCTACCTCCCTCTCTGCCTCTGATGCAGAGCCCTCGTCCGAGCTTTCCCCAGCCCCAGGACTGGCCCAAATTCCTTCCCAACCTCTTCACTGTCTGACTCTGCTGCCAGCTCCGCCACAACATCTTCCCATCTCCAGAATGAACAGTTCCTTCATGGTGGTGGGAATGGTAGAAGAAAAATTTCAGCCTTCTAGTTAGTCAGCATAAAACATTCAGTCCTTGGTTTACCCTGGATATCATTTCAGGTTTCTTCTTGATTAAGCATGGATGTTTTTTGGTATTGCTCGAGCCGAAACAAATCCACGTTTACCCTTCTTAGAAAAGCAACTTGCTGTTCTTCTCTTGTGGGTACATATGATGATATCACATCCATGCCCACTGGGCAAAATCAAAAGGAAATCTCAGCGGGAGGTAATAGATTTGAAACGATGGCATTCGGCCAAACCACCGTGCTGTGTTCCCCGAAATGCAAGGAGCAGAATGAATTGACATCAAAGGTTAGGAAAGAGCTGGATTATAAAACGAAGCTTCTCCTCTGTTATTAAAAGACTTGGGCAGCCTCAAATGTGGGGCTCTGCCAACAGGATCCAGACCCTTTCGTCTCTGCTAAGGGGCAGAGAAAAACAGCCCCTGAATCCCCATCACGTGGTGTGGCTAGGACAGGGGTAGGCAACCTTAAACACTCAAAGAGCCACAAAGGTCCTAACCGAAAGCCCACTGTTCAATTCTGGAGCTGACCGGAAGTCCGGTTCCCCTACCATAGAGTCTCTTCCTAGCACGGTGTCCTTTTTCCTCTACCTGTCCTAACCGAAAGCCCTATCAATTGTGGAGCCGACTGGCGACACGGAGCCGCAGCAGAGGGATGAAAGAGCCACATGCGGCTCCAGAGCCATGGGTTGCTGACCCCTGGGCCAAGAAAATAACAGGAGGAATTTTAGACATAGCCAACCAAATAGATACTGTAGGATAGGAGACTGTCAGTAGCTTATTTCATAGACAACAGCTCAGTCCATGCGTGAACATTCCCAGCAGGAAGAGATTCTAAGCACTGTGAAATATTTTGCCTTAATGAATTCACTGATAGAAGGGGCTAGAAGTTCTGTGGTTGTTAGGCTCATTCCAAGAATGACACAGAACAATAGACACAAGAGACAGAATCTTGCCAGACTAAACCCTTAATACTCTCACCCTAATAGATATTTTCTTGGAGTTTCTAAGGTAAAGGAAAAGGTTCCCCTCGCACATATGTGCTAGTTGTTCCCAACTCTAGGGGGTGGTGCTCATCTCCGTTTCTAAGCCGAAGAGCCAGCTCTGTCTGATGACAATTCCGTGACCATGTGGCCGGCATGACTCAAGGCCAAAGGCGCACGGAACGCTGTTCCGTTCCCACCAAAGGTGGTCCCTATTTTTCTACTTCCATTTTTTACGTGCTTTCGAACTGCTAGGTTGGCAGAAGCTGGGACAAGTAACGGGAGCTCACCCTGTTATGGGGCACTAGGGATTCGAACCGCTGAACTGGCAACCTTTCTGATTGATAAGATCAGTGTCTTAGCCACTGAGCCACCGCTTCCCTACGTGCATCTCCCAAAACAATTTGCCCATTCTGCAAAATGGGAAGATTTGGACCAAAAGCGGCTGATGCGTGAAAGCTGCAAAGCAGAGGGATGGTAGAAAGGGAAGGAGAAATGGATGGTTGGTGGAATATTTTATTAGGCTGGGTTTCTGCAGAACCCAGCCTGGAGCAATTGTCAGATTTCATGACAGGTTAATTGGAAAGCAGAGAACAAATGGGTATTGGAGAAAAGCAAAACAGCACGATGGAGGTGGGGAAGAAGAATGATGCTGAGGAGCAGGGATTAGGTCTTGGGAGAAAGTTCTGTATAGCATGAATTCAGGTGCAATCCCAGGGCTGCTTATTGGCACATTCTCACAATAACTATTATTATTTTTGCAAATGATAATAGCCTTTCCAAAGTTCAACATCCCACCATTTTTAAGGGTGAAATACAAGAGCATTAACTTGAAGGAGGGCTTAGTGAGGTGGGCAGCAATTGGCTACAGGAAAAGAAATAAGGAAGGGAAGGAGAAGGAGAAGGAGAAAGGGGGGAGAGGAAGAAGGGAGTGAAAAGGAAAAGGGAAGGAGGAGAGGAAGAAGAAAAGATAAAAGGAAGGGAAAGGGAAGAGAAAGGAAGGGAAGGGGAAGAGGGAAAGGAGGAAGGGAGTAAAAGGGAAAAGGAAGGAGGAGAGGAAGAAGGAAAGAGAAAAGAAAGAGAAAGGGAAGAGAAAGGAAGGGAAGGAGGAAGAGGGAAAGGAGGAAGAGAGTGAGGGAAAAGGAAGGAGGAGACAAAGAAGGAAAGAAAAAAGAAAGGGAAAGGGGAGAAAAGGGAAGGAGGAAGAGAAGGGAAGGAGGAAGAGAAAAAGGAGGGAGGGAGTGAAAGGGAAAAAGAAAGGGAAGGAGGAGGGGAAAGGGAAAGAGGAAAGGAAAGGGAGAAAGAACGAGAAAAAGGAAAGAGAAGGAGGAACAAAAAGGGGAAGGGGAAGATGAAGGGAATAAGGACAGAAGGGATCTAATATAATGGAAAGGAAATAAAGAAAATGACAGGGCAAAGAAAAATCTTGCCCATCAATATCATACAGTGACTCCTCCTTAACTCATTGCTTTCCCTACCATCAACACAAGGTGTTGCGTTGCTCCGTAAAACAAAATACACTTAGTACACCTTCTTCTTCCCCTCCCAGGAATACATTCGATTAGATTAACAGAGTTGGAAGGGACCTCGTAGGTCATCTAGTCCAACCCCCACCCCCGCCCAAGCAGGATTTCTACACCGTTTCTGACCAATGGCAGTCCAGTCTCTTCTTGAAAGCCTCCAGTGTTGAATTAAGAAACTCCTGACCTGCCTCGCAGGGCTATTGCAAGGAACGGCACGATGCCCCTTTTAGCGAAGTTGCCCACAAGAGCGAGAAAAAGGGAAACCAGCCCTCGAAATGTCGCTGACGCTTCCTCACCTGGACAGGTGGACTCGCTTCTCGGTGAACTGGCCCGGGCCATGGACGGGGTCTTCGTGAGGTTCGTTTTTCACCACTTCCACCCCTTCTCCTCGGTCGCTCTCCTGATGGCTGTGCTTACTGATGGTGTAGAGCTGCCCGACTCGATACTGTTGAGGAAAGAAGACCAAGAGGAGATCCGTCTGAAAGGGGGTTTGTGCAAAGGGGAAGGGTGAGGGAACGGAGAATAGAAAGACCCCCTTCTCGGGATACAGACTTACGACTAAAGCGGAGCCCTAAATGTCTGTCGCTAAGCGAGACAGTTGTTAAGTGAGTCTTGCCCCATTTTATGACCTTTCTTGCCCCCATTATTAAGCGAATCACTGCGCTTGTTAAGTTAGCAACGCAGTTGTTAAGTGAATCGGGCTTCCGCATTGGCTTTGCTTGTCTGAAGTCGCCAAAGGGGGGGGTCACATGACCTCAGGACCCCACAGCCGTCATAGATCTAAGTCAGTTGCCAAGCATCTGAATTTTGTTTCATGGGGATGCTGCAACAGTCATAAGTGTGAAAACGGGTCACAAGTCACTTTTTTCCCCCCCAGCACTGTTATAATTTTGGATGGCCACTAAATGAACTGTTGTAAATTGAGGTCGACCTGTATTCTCATTGCGATGAAAAATAATGAACCATCTACATGGCTTTTATCAGCCCAGTGTCGTAAAAATATCCCAATAAAGAGGAACACAGACAAACCACAAGCAATAAATCTGACTTTTAAGATTCAGAGGTTTATTTCGTGAGCAATTTGATGTTATGAACAGCCATCATAACACAACTTATATCCATGATGGCGAACTTATAGCACTTATGCCACTGGTGGCACGCATAGCCATATCGGTAGGCATGCAAGCTCACCTCCGGCGTGCGTGCGGGCGCCAGTCAGCTGATTTTCAGGCCTTCTGGGCCCACCAGAAGTAGGGAAAGAGGCTGTTTCCTGCCTCTGGAGAGCCTCGGGGTGGTGGTGGGGAAGGCCCGTTTTTCTTTCTCCCCAGCCTCCAGAGCCTTTCTAGGAGTCTTCCCCACCCCCCCCCCGGAGGCCGAAAAAGGTCTGTTTGCCAATGTCTGGTCGTTTTCGGCCTCCAGAGGGCCTCTGGGGGCGGGGTGGGGAAGGCCGTTTTCGCCCTCCCCAGACTCCTAGAAAGGCTCTGGAGGCTGGGGAGAGAGAAAAATGGGCCTACCGTGCCATCGTGTGCCAGGAGCAGGGGGAGCGGGGGGGGGATCGCGCATGCATGCATGGGGGCAGGGCACATAGAATTATGGGTGTGGGCACACACATGTGCGCCCCCCCTGCTCTTGGCACGCAATGGCAAAAAGGTTAGCCATCATTGACTTATATCAATAACCGATTGCAATGAGGTCCAGAGACAATAGCTACTCCAACAGCAAGGAGTAGCTACGGCCAGTGGCCCTGAACTCATCCCAGCACATTCTTTTTATATACTTTTCTGCACGCATTTCACAACTTGCTTCCTTGTCCTTTCTTACCGACGGACAGTCTCCAGATATGCCCGTCTTCATCTCAAACCTCTATCCATCGGTACTTTCAGTTCCTTATTTCTCACAGTTTCAGCCTTCTGATTCCAAATAGACTTCAAAACTACACGCTTTGCAAAATTACATTTCACAGCAACAGCTCGGCAGGATTACAAATCGTTCTGATGATCCACTTTGAGAGTTTCTATCTAAAACTTTGGTTTGTGTAGCTTTTTAGGGCCTGCTATCCTTCTGAGACCTATGGACTCTGGTAGTTCAATAGGCTATTTGTCCGTTTCTCACACCAGACAGGAAAACATCATAATCAGACAAGCTAATTCTACAGGTAGTCCTTTACAGCCACAATTGAACTCCCAAATTTCTGCTGCTAAGTGAGACATTTTTTAAGTGAGTCTTGTCCTGTATGATGACCTTTCTTGTCACTGTTATTAAGTGAATTGCTGCGGTTGTTTAAGTTAGTAGCTGTTGTGGTCTGCCAGCAGCCTGCAGAGCTGGCAGTGGAGTCCGACAGCGATGAGGCTGAGGAAGAACGTGGGCCAGACCTGGAGGCTGGGGAAGGCCCGGATGAGGGCTCTGCATCAGAGGCAGAGATGGGGCCATCGGGGAGTGAGGTGCGGACTCCAGAGCCTCCAGAGACTGATAGTAGTGAAGCAGAGGAACAGGAGGAGCCTGTTGCTAATGCACGCATGAGAAGAGCTGCCAGAAGGCAAGAGCAGCTCAAGCAAAGAGGTCAACTCGGGAGTAGGGCCAAGAGATGATTGGCTCCTCCCATAAGGCTTAAAACAGACCAGCAACGGCGTTTGGGCTTTGCCGGAAAACAACGTTGATAGCTTCGTCTTCTTCTTCATCTACATCTTGTATTTATTTTTCTATCTGTGACTTCTGAACATTTGCCAAGAAAGGCCTTTGGCAGTTTGCCTAATTGGACCAAGGTTTGCGATAGGACTGAGGAATTTGTGTTGGGAGGAATTTGCTTTAATTTAGTTGAATGACGCTGGGAATGAAGTAATTCTCAGCTGTTCGAATAAAGTTTGTTTTTTCACTGACTGATTTTCCTACTACTTACTTGGGCCTGGGTCACAACAGTAGAATGGCTGTTAAGTGTAATCTGACTTAGAATAAGAATAATAGAATTGGAAGGGACCTTGGAGGTCTTCTAGTCCAACCCCCTGATCATTTTATAACACTCTGAACCAAAGGTTATCCAGTCTCTATAGAAAATGGGAAAACTATGGAAAATTTCACTCGTTGCTGCAATTTTCCAAGGGAAGAGTTAAGTTTTCAGCTTCCGGATTGGTCTCTATATCTCTCTCTCTCTCTCTTTTTTCCTCTGAAAGTCAATATCTGCTAAAACAGGATCTCAGTTAATCTACCTGCTGTTTATTTAAGGACAATCAATGTTATGATTGGAAAAAGAGGGGAGCATCTGCATTTCAAAACAATTCCCCTTAGTGGTAAAATGGAGACATTTTATCTTAGCTGTGCGTAGTGAAATACACATACGCACACACAAGTAGCCGTTGAAAACATTTCTATAAAACTCCAGGGCAAGGATTTGGTTTCCCCCGCTCTCCATAACAGCGTTATAATTATCGCAATTTTAAAGCGAATAAAAACGATATTTACTCTCTCTCCTCCACTTCGGAGGCAAGGAGTACAAGAAAAACTATTTCGGAATTCAAAAGAAGGCAGTATGTGTATATGTACTGTATATGAATATGTATAATTGTATATGTATATGTGTAATTGTATATGTATAATTGTATAATTAATTGCATATATATATATGTATAATTGTATATTTATATGTACTGTATATGTATAATTGTATAAATAATTGTATTTCCGGGACGCGGTGGTTCAGTGGCTAAGATGCTGAGCTTGTAGATCAAAAAGGTCGGCAGTTCAGCAGTTTGAATCCCTAGCACCGCGTAATGGGGTGAGCTCCCATTATTTGTCCCAGCTTCTGCCTAGTAGTTCGAAAGCACGTAAAAAATGAGAGTAGAAAAATAGGGACCACATTTGGTGGGAAGGGAACAGCGTTCCGTGAGCCTTTGGCATTTAGTCATGCCGGCCACATGACCACGGAGACGTCTTCAGACAGCGCTGGCTCTTCGACTTAGAAACGGAGATGAGCACCACCCCGTAGAGTTGGGAACAACTAGCACATATGTGCGAGGGGAACCTTTACCTTTACCTTAGAAACTCCAAGAAAATCTCTATTAGGGTGAGAGTATGATGGGTTTAGTCTGGAAAGATTCTGTCTCTTGTGTCTATTGTTCTGTGTCATTCTTGGAATGAGCCTAACAACCACAGAACTTCTAGCCCCTTCTATCAGTGAGTTCATTAAGGCAAAATATTTCACTTCACCGTGAGGTGAAGTGCACCATTGGAAGAGTGAAAAACCAGGTTAGGGACGGAGGTTTCCATCCATTACTTCAGGTAAGTTTGTATAAGTTTCTTTCCATCTTTCCTGTTTCATAGTGTCCAGAGAGTTGGGTTTTTTCATAATGTGTCCAAAGTGAGATAATTTGAGCCTGGTCCTTTGTGCCTCTAGCGAGAAATCTTGGTTGATTTGATTGGATCATCCATTGGTTTGCTCTCTTGGTGGTCCATGTCTTCTCACGTTGGAGAAGACCTGCTTCTTCAAAGTTCAACTGTTGCTCCATAGAGTAGCTCCTCTTGTTCAAAGTCCCATTGTTGCTTCCATAGAGTATCTCCTCTTCTTCAAAGGTCAACTGTTGCTCCATAGTGTATCTCCTCTTGTTCAAAGTCCAACTGTTGCTTCTTCAAAGTGCCACTGTTGCTTCCATAGAGTATCACAGGGAAAAATCACTGTTTTTAGGTGTCTCTTCTTGGTAAGTATAGACCAGGACTGTCTTAACACATGGGCCTGATGGGCACTTGCCCTTGGGCCCCACAAGCATAGGGGCCCCATACTAATCTGTGTATGTTAACCCTTCAATGCACCTTGTGTCATATAAATAAATACAGCAACGTATTTATTACATTTTACTGCGTTTTTAAAATAATACTAACATGCATATATGTTTAATTTTATCGACCATTTACATTTTTATTCCTGTAAGTAGTTGTCATAGGGGTACCCCACTACACTGCTTTGGCCGGAGCCCATAATGCTGTTAAGATGGCCCTGGTCAGGGGTGGGCTTCATAAATTTTAGCAAGGGGTTCTCTGCCCGGTTGCTGGGTGGGTGTGACCATGGTGGGCGTGGCCTAGTTGGCCTCCTGCACCATGACCACAGGGGGGTGTTTTCACCCTCCCTGGGCTCCAGAGGCTTTCCTCCAGCCTCCAGGAGGGCGAAAACAGCCTCCCCAGGCTCCAGAGGCCCTCTGGAGGCTAGAAACGGGCCCGTTTCTGGCCTTTCCGAACTTCCAGTAGGCCCGTTTTTCGTCCTTCCTGAACCTCCGTGCACTTACTTGCATCCAAAATGGGCCACGTGGGGACGCCTGGAAGGGGTGGGGTAGGGTGGGTGGGGCAGGGCAGGGCCAGCCAAGAGTGGGATTTGGGGGTTCTTCAAACTGCACAGAATCTTAGCTAGAGGTTCTCCCGAACCCTTACGAATCCCCAGCAGCCCACCCCTGGCCCTGGTAT